GACCCTGCGCGGAGCCTGGCGGAGCTCCCCACGGCGCGAGCCGGGGCTGCCGTGGCTCGGCTCAGGTTTTGGGGAGGACGCAGGAGGGCTGGCTGCTTCAAGAAGTGCTGCCACTGCTCAGAAGAGGGGCTGTTCAAATGCTCTGAGCTCAACGGCTCTCACCCCGAGAGCTCAAAGCCTCAAAGCACTGCACGGACACGCAGCGGCACGGTCCGGCTTCGGAGGGATGAAACTGCGGTCGAGAGAGGCGTGAATTGCTCGAGCCCTCACAGCAGGTCCGTGGTGGAGCAGGAGATGGGCACGAGTCCGGTGAGCATCTTACCCATCCGTGCACCCCCTGGGGTCCCCACGCCCGGGCACCCAGACACTCCCTGCACACAGCTACCCTCCGAAATGAGCAGCCCCTTCCCTTTGCAGGGCTCATCCCCATCCTCCCAGCGCTCGGGGCCGACCACGCTGCTGTCTCCAGCGCGTGTCCGGGGTCAGTCCCCACGCCGTGCTGGCGGCACTTCCACAGCCCTCCCGGGGACGGCCAGGACCCAGGGCGTGCTCTCCCCGTCCGCTGCACCTCCCCAAGCACCTTTTCCCAGATCCGCTTGCAAACTCAGCGCCAACAGCCTTAACCCTGGCTGGGTTTTCTGGGAACACCTCTAGAGCTTGCAAAAACGATGCAAAATGAGCAAGAAAACGTTCACGTTCCCAAATCCCCAAGAGGATGCACATCTGCCTGGCCAAGGAAAGGGATTATTTTCCTTGCTCACCTGCCCACCCCACAGCCCAGTGGCCCTGGCAGCTTTGCAATCAGGGGTGGAAAGCAGAGCATCTCCCTGTGGTCGGTAAGGTTTAGGGTCACAGGGAGCAGCGGGGAACGCCGGGGAGCTGGAGGGGACACGGCGTCTCCTTCTCCCATGGGCTCACGTCCTACCTGGTGGTGGGGGACCGCTTCCTGCGCTCGCAGTGCACGGCGTCAAAGAAGGCGGCATTCCAAAACCGCAGGTTGTGCCTGCAGGGAGGGAGGGAGATGTTGGGGACGGCCACCCGCCATCTCCCCCAGCCTGCCCCCGAGTCCTCCCAGGGCCAAGCTCCCCCGTTTCCCAGGGGCCAGGAGGTGATTCAAGGAGGGGGCTAAGCAAGTCTGGCAGATTTGGTCCAGTTTTGGACCAGCTCCTTGTGTGTCTGCAAACACACTCTCGCTAGCACAAGGGATGTGCAAAAGCCGTGGCCACCTCTTTTAAGGGAAGCAGCAGCTTAAAAGCGCTCATGAAAGTCTGGGGAACGTGTGGGCAAGGAGGACAAACCCCCGCCCCGGGGAGGCCAATGCCAGGCAGGCGTTACCAGATGGGCTGCTGCTTGAGGTGCATGTACAGGTAGATCTTCTCCCCTTTCTTCTCCTCCTCTGGGCTCTGCACGGAAACTGTGGGGACACACAGTTACGTGCCTAGGTCGGGATGATTCCCACCTTCCCACCCATGCACAGACCTTGTGCCCCCCTGCCAGCTTGGTGTCCAAGCCACCATGACGGCAAGGTCTGCAAACCAAATACTCATCCCCAACACCTCCACAGCAATGTGAAGAGGAGCTCTGGCTGCCCTTTGCGGGCAGATGTTAGCTCTAATAGAGGCATGGATGTCCCAGGTGGACGTGCGAGGGACTGGACCACTGGTTCGGTAGCGCGCGAGCTACTGGGACACGGCTGGAAGAGCACAAAAGCTCAGAAGCAGTGGATGGTCCAAACCTCTGCAACCTGGTACCACTGAGGACAAGATGCCACAAGATGTTCTTGTGGAACAGGAGCTGTGATTGCTCCAAAGCAAGGAGCTGTGAAGGCTGCTTTGGAGCACTTCTCTAGGAGCTCAGAGGAGACAGCATTGGTCCTTCCTGCCCTTCTCCCCACTCCACACCTCCGGCAATGCCAGGCATCTCATACCACTCCCAACCCTCGCTCCTTCCCCAAGGGATGCCTTGACCGTGCCTACTTCAGCAATGCTGGCTCTACTCACCCGTCTTCTTCAGCTTCTCCTTTGGTTTGTCCTCACCTTCGCTGTGGCACAGAAACCAGTGTCAGATCCCAAGAAGCCTGTCCCCCTGACAGCCCACGCAGCAAAACCCCGTTCCCTTTGGCATGGGGACCACCTTCATTTGAAAGATCCCCTGCTCCCATGCCATTGTCCCCTGGGCCAGAAAGGTGACTAAGAGACTGTGATGTCCATCCCAGTTGGACCCAGCACAGAGATGATGCAGAAGACCACAAAGCAGCAGCACCATCTCCTGGAACCACATATCTCCACTGCCAAGGGACACAGGGCTCCCAGACCACGAGATGGCCCACGACCAAAGTATGAAGCATGGGACCAGGCTAGAGACCCTCTTCCCATGGCCATGATAACCCCTGGCTCATGGTGGCCCTACACCCAGGAGGTTTCTGGCTTGGTCACTTTAGGAGTGCATGCCTCAGCCTACTCTGCCCACCCAACAGAGTGGTACCCACTCGCTCCTTTTGGTGGTAGGACCCTTCAGTTTGGTCTCCAGGCCCCCAAAGAAGCCCTTGACGTTCTCCGTCTTGGCCGAGGTGTTTTTCAGCAGCCGCTCTGCAATGTCCTTCTTCTCCGCCAGCCAGCTGTTTGCCGACTTCAGGTATGAGTCAATGCTGCCCATGGGCTTCTCCTTGGCCTCCAATGGGAGCGCGTGGGTCTTGCCTGTGGGCAACATGGCAGGAGTTCAGCTGGAGCCATGGTCTTGGGTGCTGCCAGCTCCTGGGGGACCTGCTCCCGGCTACAGGATGCACCACGAAGAGTAGGAGTACAGATGGAAACAGCCCAGACCCCATCCCACCTCAATTCCTGTAGGTCTTTATCCTCTCCCCAGTTTTGCATAGAAAATCCAGCCCCCCATGGAGGAGCGACCGCCACACACCAAGAATGAGCCAAGGTGCTTCTGGGCTGGGGGTTTCGTATCACATGCCCAGGGTTGGGGAACATCTGGGGATCGCCACGGACAGATAGCCCTGGCTAGAAGCCATGGCACACCCCAGCGAGGGTCTCCAGCAGGTTTGCACAGCTGCTGGGCCATGGAGGCTCTTTTCTGCTTGACGTCGGAGTCAGCCAGAGCAAGGCAAGCTCTGCTGCCCGTCCGTCACCCTTCCCACGCACGGGGCACACTTCACCGCTGGTCTCCAGCGCAAGCAAAGCCCGAGGGTGCAAGTGCCTCTTACCGATGTAGTAATAGGTGAAACACATGGTCATGAGGTTCTTGGCAGGGCTGAAGTCATCCATCTGGTGACACCTGCCACGGAGGGAGGATTCGGTGAAGACACCCGGCGATGGCAACCGAAGCAGCCTCGTGGTCGCTGCCCTTCCTCGAGCCGTGGCTCTGATCTCAGGGGCTTTCGGTGGTTGCAGCGAAGCCCCAAACCCCTCCCCGACTTACTCAAACAGCACGAGGGCGAAGGACTGCATCAGGCGGTAGAAGGTCTGCTCCGAGACGCACTTGGAGTTGCAGCGCTGCAGGCACAAAGCCCAGGGTTTAGCCCAGCTCCGCAGGGCAGCTGCCTGCCGCAAGCAGCACGGGCAACCTCAGCCCCCCCGGGACCCCCGGCCGCAGGGAGGTGGGCAGAGGGCACAGGGGGTCGGGCCTCCCTCTCGGAGACAGCGGTTTGCCTCTCTGAATTGTTTTTCTAGGGAATAGGACGTTTCGGAGCGCTGATGGGATTTCAGTTTAAATAAAACAGACAACTTCTCTCCCACATTGCAACGAGCACGTGTTTAACTGCCTCGAGATGCATTTATCCACTCCGGTATCTCCCTGTATTGAAGTTCCTCCCTTTCCCCAAGTTCCTGCCCTCCAAAAACATTGCTTTGGGCCATTGCTAAATTCCCCTGGCCTGAACCTCCTGCCCAGGCTGCTCCAGAGCCCCGGTACAGGGCCACCGCTCCTTCGCACCTCTCTCCCCTTACCTGGGCACTCACGTATCTCGCGAACCATTCCCTGCCCTTCCCGTTCTCGCCGCTGCAGAGCTCACCAAACCTGGCCTTCTCTTCTTGGTCCAAATCCTCTCTGAAACGGGGGAAAAAAAAGACGAACAAAAAACATTAAAGTTGAGGATGTGGCCAGCATCCCTCATCCAGCCAGCACGGCTCAGCTGCATCCTCTCTCTCAGCAGCGGCATCCCAGCGCCGCGACGCCGGGAGGAGAGCGGAGGAAGAGGGGAAGGAGAGCATCCATTTTGTCATCCTCCGGCTCACACTGCTCTTTTGTTCCTCCTTGGCAGCGGGGGAGAGCAAAGGCAGAGGGAGAAGGGAAGAGCCAAGGACAGCCCGAGCAGAAACTGAGCTCCAGAGACAGACACTCTGCCCCCGAGCAAAACCAGCCCCTGTTGCTGCTCATCACGCTCGGTTTGCTCAATCCGGCTCGACACGCTGAGCCGCAGCGTTGTGGAGACCACAGCGATGGGAGCCGGGGGGACGCAGGGCTGGGGGGGGGAAGCCGGGGGCTGCCCCGCGGCGCGTGCGGGCTGAGAGACTGACATACCCAGCGGGGCAGAGGGGCTGGAGACCCTCGGCGTGGGAAAGGGGAGGAAGAAGCGGGGAGGGAAGCTGGGGGTGAAAGATGAGCCGGGAACTGCCCCAGAGAGGGGTGCAAGTCAGCGCCCGCATCCTCCCCTTAGCTCCGACGCCT